TGCCTTTGCTGGCCAGGAGCTGCAGTGTGTGAGGCAGGGGCTTCTGCCCGCCCCCTCCCCCCCAGGCAGCTGCAGGGATCTGGGGGTGGGGAGGGGTTGACAGGGCCCTTAGGAGCCCACCTCACAACCCGAGCCTTTCCTGAAAGGTTCCTGCAGAATCTGGACTCTACCCTGAGGCTGCGCTGGGGCTGGTCCTGTGCTTGCTTTTTTACTGTCTGCTTATATGGGGCTTGGAATCTGCTAGCAGAAAATAAAACTGCTGAGATGGTGAGATCTGGTCTCCTGCCTTTGGCATCTCGCCACCTGGGCTCAGAAATTCTCTAGCTGAAGCAAATACGTTTAACTAGCCAAATCCAAGGTGGTGGTTGCTGGTTGCTGAATCCAGATTGAGGTCTAGGAGTCTTGCTGTTAGCTTTTGAAAAGAGATGTATGACAAGGATTTGGAAGGGAACTGGACCTGTCTGAAAGCTGAAGTACAAGGCTAACCTCCACTCCCAGGAGTCCTCACAGCAAAGTCCATTTAGATAGAGTTCCTTTTATTAATCTTCTCTAGCCCCAAACATTCACTCCAGGGGCAAAGAGGTGTTGAAGGTGGAAAGAATTTTTCCCTGTTTTAGATAAAAAGCTAACTTTTAAATGCCTTAATCTAGTAAACACTTTGTCTAGTACAGCTTGCCGTAGACCCATTCTGTAATCGGATCCATACAAAGCATTTTCCTCTGTAAGAGACTACTCTGGTGCATGACTAAAGTGGCACAAGTTAGCCAATGACTCCCTATATGCCTGAAGAAGGGTGTGTGTGCCCAAAATCTTGCAAAGAACAATTTTTTCCACCTGCTCAATTGGTCTAATAAAAGAGATCACATCTACCTAAAGAACCTTGTCTGCCTGTGACCAACACTGCAACAACCTTTACTGTAAAGTAGAGTTTTCATAATGGCTAAACTCACATCTCTATCTGCACATGCTTGTTACACAACTGGAAGGTTTATGAGCAACTTCTACACTGTTCTAGGTGCAGCAGGTCCTATTAAAAGGCCTGGCTTAGGCTCCTTTGTAAAAAAAATAAAGCTGTGAGTTGACCTCAATTATCTGAGTGTCAAGGGGATGTCAGATGTTTGGATTTGTCAATGTAAATTAATGTTGGGACATGATGACCCTATTTCAGATTCTTGAGGTCTGGAGCATCAAAACCTGAGCTTGTAGCTGAGGGGACAAACTGATGCGGGTATTTTTTTTTTTTTTTTTCCTGTACAGCTCCATGGGTAGCAGAAGCTCTAGTAGTTTGTTAGAATGTGCATTAGAGACCTAATCTGTAGTCTGCTGTAGCAAAAGTAATGCATAACATTGAAGGGGCACTCCCAGTTTGAAATGGGCTGGAGCTGTATTTCTTAACTAAGGCACTAGAAGATTTAAAAATGAATTCTCAACATCTGAGATTACTTTAAATTATGATGCTGCCTCTGCCTCTACAGTTTGTACAATTTGACCTTGAAGGCGAGTAGCTATGAGACCTGTTTGTATTAACTGTTTCCACTAGCATTTTAAAATGCAGGACTTGCTTCTCCAAAAACATAGTTTTTCATTTAAATGTCAGTCCAAATGCAAGTGTCCTTCAGTTCTTGCCAAATTGACAGTAATATGCATAGTTTGTGCCCTAATCTAATCTTTCTAAATTAACAAACTGTTTTAAACAAAGTAATAAACAGTGATTAATATTAAAGCTAACAACAGTGTCTAAATAGGCTGCTGCATATTCATGTTTGGGAGGCTACTTCATTCCTCAGTAATGACTCATCAGATGTTAAAATCTAGCATGCTGGCTTCTAATTAAAAAGGCTGTTCACAAAGCAAAAACCAAACTGGCCTTCACAAGAAACTAACCTCTAATATTTGTGGGCCTGAACTGTTTGTTTCACTTTACAACATCTTTCAGATCCCCTTTAATTGTTTTTTAACTACATTTTTTTTTAAATACAAAGCAACATGAGCTGAATTTGAGTTCAGGTTCAAGCTGCATCAGTTGGATTGCTGGAGTGCTAGAAGTGCATGCATCTAAGGTTCAAAGCCTAATGAAATTTCATTGAACAAATTATGATAAACCACTATTGGTGTTAAATTTAGTTTCTGTGTAGTAGAAGAAACCTGCCAGCACTTCTAGAAGCCACATAGCTAGTATCAAATGTTCTATTTAATGCTAGCAGTAAGTAACTTTAAACTAAAGAGCCCATCTTCCTCAGTGCCAAAGCTGTAATGACTGATGAAAAGCGTTGCCACTAGCAATTTCAGATACTAAATATGGAGGACGGTAGCTTCAATTTAGATAGTCCATCTAGCAGCTTCTGCACATGGGTTTGACTAATCTGAAGCAAGCAACCAAAAAAGGCAGTTACTACTTCTACTTGGCTCATACAGTTTGTTAACTAAATGATGTAGAAAACCAATCCAAAAGCAGGCAGCGACAACCTGATGGTCAGAATCAATTCTCTACCATATATTGAGTAACTCTGTTAGCTTCACAGGGAGCTGATCCTTACTACCATCTCCTGGCAGTGGTCTGTTCCCCTTATCACTTAATCCCATAGCAGTTGGTGAACAATAGTTCAAATACTACTTTTCCTCTGCTATGGTTCATAACAAAGCCTTTTGCATAGGTAAAGTTTCAAATGTCCTCTTCATAGATTGCATCAAAACATTTAAACAAAACACTTAAACCCTGTGCAGAATGCCTTACTGTGGCTAACAAACTTCTAGCTATATCCTGTCCAAAGAAAAGGAACTATTCTAAAGGAGCTGTCTCATCCCTGATGCCTGTTGCCATTTCATGCCAAAGATTTTTCCACTAGCTTTTGGGGTAAGGATTGCACCAGTAGGGAGTAGAATGTGTGTGAGATGGTGAACCTGATGGTTTTTATTCTTTTTAGGACCAACACTACTCTAAATGTTACAAAACTCTATCCCTACAAATTTCTTTATTAACATGCTGCATATACAGGAAACCTGACTTAACTCTACAGTTCCAGCAATCGGAAGGAACTGGTGTGAAATCTTATTTGACCTTCATACTTCAAACTTATTTTAATTTGCTGTCAAATCTCCAAAAATACATTTTTCTTCTGCCATTCAGATTTTGTTCAGTCTCCAACTTTTTTTCCCCTAAAACTTCTGTTTCAAAATCTGTAGCTTTCTAAACACTTTTTGGATTTAAAAGTAAGGCTGTATGTGCATTTGATGCTTTTAATGTTAAATAGTTTACTAGTTAATAGTTACCTGACATTAGAATCTTACAATTTGGCAATGAGTTCAGGCACACTTCCAATTTGAGAGCCACAGTAACTAGTGCTAAAGAATAATTGAGAAATACCAGCTCTATGGAATATAACAGCTTGAATGATTCTTTTTTCCCCTAATGGTTAAACTTTGACCCAAGTGCTCTTTGTTTCCTTGAAAGTGTATCTGACTACAGGACTAGGATAACAACCCTTCACAGAAGTAGCTGATGTTAAGATAGTGCCCTAGCTTTGACATAACTAACTTCTTATCTGTTGCCTCTTTAACCTTCTAGTAAGTGGTGCTGGTTCTAACTTGACCTTCAGGAACCTTACTTGGTTTAGGCCATGTTTGCCCAACCAGGGGGAAAAGGAGCAGTGACTTGCAATCCAAGCTAAGCATTGACAATGCAGTAGTAGAAGTCATTAAGATTATTTGAAAGGGCAGTGTTCCAAGCTGCCTTTTCCAGGTAGTGTCCTCTAGTAACCTTTTTCCTGCATTAGATTCCTAATCTTAGTTGCATTTCAGTTTGAATTCACAGTTGTAGCAGAAACTTTCAGGGAAAGAGACTTTCTCTATTGGTGCTCAAATGCTTCAGTGTTTTTTTGGGACCTTTCCTCACTTCAGACATTAGGTAAAATAAAAGCAAACTGAAGCCTGAATTTTTTCAAGGTTTTTGAGGACTCTTGTGGGATAGGGTTGGCGGGAGGGGGGGAAGAATCACAGCTTTTTAATTCTCAAGTTTGTCTCTAAATAGTACAAGGTAGTCAGGCTATGCCAAAAGATTTGATCTGAGCTGCTGATGGGGCGGTTTACAGAGCTCAGTTGCTACCTGGTGTCTGGATTAGATCACACTTTTAAGGGCTTAAAGTTATTTCAGTTCATTTTTAAATAATGACAGTAATTCAGCTTCATATTAAATGAACAAAGCTTACAAAGGGCATTTGTGGGTGTGTCAGTGATATTTTTTTTTCCTATTCTGCCTGCTCAATAGTGAAATAATCTTAACTTCTGTAAGATAAAGCTGCCTCTTGTGAAACTGGCAGTGTGTCAAACTCCAAAAACTGACACACTGAAAATTATTAGGATACACTTACTAGTCAGGACATGAACCTGCATACTCATGGCAAGTGCATTTCAGCAGCTCTGGCATCTTAATTTGCCTTTAATAAGCCATGGCAAGGCAAGGGGAACTTCTTAATGGACTACAGTTCCATAAATCGGGGCTGCTACAGTCCACTTCTGCTTTCTGCGTTTGGATTCCTTGGATTGGTTGCGGTTGGACTTATGGATTGAGACTTTCCAAATATTCTTCTCAGGAATCAAGAGTTGGGGCTGGGATATGGTAGGGAAGGGGAGCAGAACTTGCAGTGAGCCTGCCACTTCAGGATAATGTTGTGGGGAAGTTGAGAGCAACTTAAACAGGAGCAGAAACACATGCTCGCCTTGTGGTTGGAGCACATTTTAATATAAGGTAGCAAGTAAACCAGTCCTCCTTCCACACTTTAGGATTCCTGTAAATTGTGCATGCTTTTTAAAGCACGCTTCTTTGCAACTTTTTCTCTCAGCTGGCTAACTTGTAAATTAGTTGGCTCATCTCATTTTGGCTCTGCTAGACTGAAACGTGCAGACATGCATCCCGCTTGCTTATTGCCACATTAAGCTCTAACACTTCATTCCCAAACTGTTACTTTCTTGGTGCAGACAATAAGACTCTCTTTGTGTCTCAGGTGGTCCGCAGCCGTCTGGAAAAGAGAGGCGTTGCAGTCCATAATGTGAGATTGAATGGCTCGGCAGCCAGCCACGTCCTACATCAAGATAGTGGCCTGGGGTACAAAGACCTGGACCTCATTTTTGGTGTGGATCTGAAAAGCGAGGATGTGTTCCAGCTGGTTAAGGATGTGGTCATGGACTGCCTGTTGGACTTCCTCCCAGAAGGAGTAAACAAAGATAAGATCACCCCTATGACTCTAAAGGAGGCATATGTGCAGAAGCTAGTGAAAGTGTGTAACGAAACAGACCGCTGGAGCCTCATATCACTGTCCAACAACAGCGGGAAGAATGTGGAACTCAAGTTTGTAGACTCTCTCAGGCGGCAGTTTGAATTCAGTGTGGACTCCTTCCAGATCATACTGGATTCACTGCTGCTGTTCAGCGAGTGTTCAGAGAACCCCATGTCTGAGAACTTCCACCCTACAATCACTGGGGAAAGCATGTATGGGGACTTTGAGGAAGCAATGGACCACCTCAGGAACAGAGTCATTGCCACCAGGAATCCAGAGGAAATCAGAGGTGGTGGCCTTCTGAAGTACTGCAACCTCTTAGTGAGAGGATTTAAGCCCAAATCGGAAGTGGATATGAAGGCACTACAGAGATACATGTGCTCCAGGTTTTTCATAGACTTCTCTGACATTGGTGAGCAGCAGAGGAAGCTAGAGTGTTACCTTCAGAGTCACTTTGTTGGCATGGAAAGCAAAAGATACGAGTACCTTATGACCCTGCACAGGGTGGTGAACGAGAGCACTGTATGCCTGATGGGTCACGAAAGGAGGCAAACTCTGACCCTCATTGCCATGCTGGCTGCAAGGGTCCTGGCTGAGCAGAGCATCATCCCAACTGTCACAAACGTTACCTGCTACTATCAGCCAGCACCATATGTCAGTGAAATAAACTTCAACTACTATGTTGCCCATGTGCAGCCCCTTCTGCCTTGCAGTCACTCATATCCAACGTGGCTTCCCTGTAATTGAGCACGGATGACACTGAGGACCTCCGCTCCAAAGCATTTCCTTGCCTTGGGAGCCTGTCGGGAAGACCTGCAACAAAAGGAAACTTGCTGGACTCTTGAGCAAGACTGTCTTGTTCCAACAGTCCTAGGAACTAGCGCTGTCTGCTGTACACTCTGGAGACTGGATGTGCAGTGTTATGGAAACTAGACCTATTTGAGATGTTTACAGGAAGATTGAATCACTTAGTGAAATATGTAGGCAATTGAGGGTGGGGTGTGTTAGGGGGAGACTACAGACTTAGAATAAGATAGAGCTGCACTGCCCCAAAATGCAAAAGGATCTTTTTTTTTTTTTTTTTTTTTAAGTGCAGAAGTGTTATGGGTTGTGCAGACTCGTGGTTTCTGAAGATAGAAGCCAGAGTGGCTAATTACTTCGAAGGACCAAAGAATCCTGTTTAAGTGCCTGTAACAACATAAAACACAATTGTACTGTAAACTTTATTTTTCAGGGGCTGAGGTCCCGAGTGCTTGAGTGGGGAGTCTTAAAAAGAAAAAAAAAAATTTCTGTTTGCAGGGTGGGAGGGAAGGGTCACCTGATCATTTCTAGTAACCGAACTGAAGCAGATGTTGGATTGCAGGTTACATGTTGCTAAGGTTTTTGGCATGGCTTGCTGCCTATGAAGGATCGGCTGTGGCAAATAGCGGTCCAAGTTGAGTTGCACAGAAATGGGGTTAGCTTTGGTTGACTACATGTAAAACGCCTGAGCATAATATGGGAGGGTTGGGTGGGGAGTGGGGAGGGAAAAGTGCATGGTGGCAAAAGCTGTGCTGAGCTTTGGAGATGGAAAGCAATAGGGGGGTTTACATGTGTAATGACTATTTAAAAAAACAAAAGTCCAAGTCTGCAGTGCCAAATGTAACTATGTACATAAACAGTAAAGCTAAGAGTCTGTTTTGGAGTCTGCCCGTGGCTTCACCAATACATAACCATATATTTTCTAGGGAATTTGAAATGCTACTTTTTTGGCATGCAGTGTGGTTTTAATGCACAAAACCAGTGGCCAGCTGGGTTATCTAGAAAAGACTCCGCTTGTCTTGAAGCACAAACTGACTCCCTGGCTAGTCAAACCATTATCGGCAACTACCATGGTGGCTGGAGCCAGTTTTAGGTTAAATGTACAGAACCTGGTCCCTCGGTACTAGAATGCTGTTGAATGAATCCAGCAGATTCTTTCCATTTGAGCTTTTGGCTCAGACTTCTTCCTTCCTGTGCCCATCTTCATGCCCTTTCTTCAAAAGCAGCCTGTTTCCACATCTGAGCAACAGATACCATTTTAAATTCAGATGTAGCTTAGAAATGGAACATGTTTAGCTGTTACTTAATTTTGTGCAAAAATCAGTTTGGCCTTAGGAGATCCTCTTGTGGCTTCCCCCCCCGCCCTTGTTTAAAAAAAAAAAAGCAAAAAACCTTTTTATGCCTGTGGGAGTTTTGGTACATCTTATGCAAGTATATTGACTTTGAAGTTGCTGTGATGTCTAGAGCACAAACAGTCCTGCTCTGAGCTGTCTGAAGTGCATACCCCTCCTTTTGGAACATCACATCTTGGGCTTAACTATGCATTATTTGTGGGGAGAGGAGGCGGAAGGGGGTTTTAAAGCTGGTACAGCAGAGACATCTGGCATTTTAGCCGTCAGATCTGCTGCTCAGAATACATGATGCAAGCCACTTCATAGCCATTTAGAAAGCGCTAACAAAACATGAGCACTTCTTTACTAATTTTGCTTTTTGGTCCTTGACAACACTGTACCATGGCTGGGGTGACTGAGCAGTCTAATAAATAAAGATTAGATACTTGGAATGTGCATAGCCAGAACTTTACCTTCTTGGTGCTGGGAGGAGATGTGCGGAGTGGGGTGGGAGCAGGGAATGTGGGGCTTGTGCAGCTTAGTGAACACTAACTAGCTTAAATCCTGTTCCCAACCACTTCTTATCCAGTATGAACTGAAGAGGAACAGGTCCCTGCCACTGTCATAGTTAAGGTGTTTAACAATGACCTCTTGTAAATAGCTTTATACTTTCAGAACAAATAGTTGAAAGCTTTAAAGGTAAACTCCACTACGTAGCAGTTTAACTTCCTGATGCCCAGAGCCTTACTTTGGTTGCAATGCCTGACAAAAAGGCGTTTGAGACCAGTCTTCCCTTGTGCTGGAAAAAAAAAAAAAAAAAAACTGGTTTAAAGGCTGCTTTTGAGAACTAACTAGGATCTCTAGGTATGCAATCTTCACTTTGAATATACTCGCTTTGAGGAGCAACCTGTTTTTGCACTGTTTAGCTAGGCTTCAGATTAGTGCAGATGACATGTAAGCGTGCTGCTGCTTGATTTGCAGGCTCTTCACTTTTTACCACAAGCATGTAGGCTGGCGCGCTAAACAGAGAGAACTCCCTCCTTCCCCTCATAGAATGTAAAGGTTCCCAACCACCAAAGGCTTGATGGGGGGGAATTTAAAATAAGATTGCACTTTGATTTGTGGAGTGTGTGTGGTGAAATTCTTGTGAATGGGGTTGAATTGGCATTTTCCAGATATTTGGAGTGTGAGATCATGCTGCCTCTTGTGAGGGGGAAAAATTGGAAGATTCCAATAGTTTGAATGGCACTTTTTAATTTTGTTTCAAATGTGCATTTTTTTCCTACACCTGTATCACTTGTCATGCAATGGGCTTGACATAAAGACTCACTAGATTCTTTAGAATCTGTTACAAATAAATACAGTGTATTCAAATGTGTTGAATTTCTTCTTCCGTTGTTTACTTGTCCTCCTAAGGGTAATGCGGTTTTCACCAATTCTGGCTCTTGCTAATCGGAATAAAAAGCTAACTGGATGCATTGGGATAAGAAGGAAGGCTGTTCTATGCATGCTTGCTGGAATTATGACTGAATCTCAAAGCTTCCAAATACTGCTTGTACACTAGCATGAACTGAAGCAACTACAGAGGCTTGGATTTATAGGGAGCAGTCTTGGAGGTTGGATGTGCAGTGTTATGGTATAGTATGATACCAGCAACCAAAATGCTTTTGACTTGTTCTTCAGCTGAGCATGCACTCTTTCCTAGCTGCTTGTCATATTACTGTTGGGGGGAGTCCATCCTGGCTGCTGCCTCAGTTGGTAGGGAATAGTTTATCTTGCATAAACTTTCTTCTGTGAAGACTGGAATACTTAATCACTGCTGCAGTCTTCCAACAGCTTGACCTGCTGCTGCCAGTCTTCACTGATTATAGTAATGGACTCGACTTGCTTTGGCGCTCTTTCTTCCAAGCTCGGCATTCTGCACACCTAACCGCTCGGGCAAGTGGGCTAAAGGTCTCCAGGGGAGCCACCTATATGGGGCCACCTTCCAGGAGAGCTCAGCGCTCTGCATTGCGTGTTGCTGAACCTCAACTGTTGAGTGTGCTGGTTTACTGAGCTCACTAAAATGACTAGCACTAGGTGTGGGCATAAACTCTTCAGAAATCTCTGGCCCTAATCCAGCCTAAGACAAAGTTTCACTTCAGTCTGGTTCTGTTGCATCAAACATGATCGCATGTCAGGAATGCTTCCAGCAGCTAAAAACACTCTCGGGCTGACACTGCTTCTCTAAGCACTTCACCCATTTGGGGGCCAAACCTTCCCTTGATGAGAACAGTCTAGTCTGTGGCTAGCCTTTGGATTGGCACCAGGTGCTAGAGGCAGACATGCCCCTTCCTGCCTGTACAAAGTGGGGACAGCCCTGCTGTTCTGTCGGAGCTGTACGCGTTGACTGAACCATGTCTACTCAGTGGTTGATGGTGGGTAGTGCTACTTGCTAAACTGCAGATGACAGCAGGCAGGCAGCCAAGCAACTTAAACTTCATCCTGAGCTCCAAGCCCATTCCTCTTCCTGGCATGCCTCAAATTTGTGAGAGTAGGAACTGCCTTTCTAGAGTGACTTGTCAACCCAGCTCTCCTTTCGGGTGTCTTCTCATCACTGCTACTAGGTCCTGCAAAATGACTGTTCATGAGCTGGTGAATGGGCTGCCTTTCTGAATCTGTGACCCTGAGCAAAGCAGCAAAACCCCTGACGGGGTTGGCCTTCCATTGTTTGAAGCGGATCAGACTGTACAAAAGGATGTTGGTGGAAAGTACTAGTTATGATCAGAAAGGAGCCATCTGTGTTTACAACGGAGATGTGGATCCCTCTTTTGTTAATTATAAAATAAAATATATATTTTCTCAAATGTTGTCTCGTCCTTGCTTAGCACACATGGCATGAGGCCTATTCTGGGGTGAAGTAGGATTGTGACTAAGGATCTGGCTTGCATTCAGTATGTGCCCAAGCAAATTCCCCAGCAGCAGTATTGATCACCGCTCCAGCACTAGCTCATATAGTGGAACATCACGTCAGTCTTGAGCCTTTCCTTGAGTGCTTGGCTTGCCCTTTTTTAATAAAAAGCCTTTCATATGACAGCACTTGGTCTAAGTTTACCAGTCAATACAGCTGCTGGTGCTTGGTGGAGCTAGGCAACCATGGCAGCAGGCCTGCAGCCCTTTTGTAGGGATATGATCATATCTGATTTCTAGTTGGCAAAGTAATTGCCATGGCAAGTACCCCACTCTCAGTCCCTTGGTTTAAAGCTTCTATCTGCCTGTTTGGGCCCAGAAACTAATTGTTTTCTGCTTACTGTACCAGCATTTGTCCCTCTTTCAGTCTCAGGCAGCAACCTCAGCAGTCTGGCATTCTTGCCATTGCTCCCATTGTTTTTTTCCCTGGCGCAAAAAAGCAACAGAAGCCCCACTTGGAGTTGGAGAGATGCAAATGTGTTGGGAAATTTTTTTTTGCCTCTGCTTGCTGTATTGGACAGTAAATGATGCAGAGAGCTGCTGAGGCTTCCTCTGACTTGCGTTGTCCTTCCTCAAGGAGGAAGGCTTTCTGCAGGTCACCTCCCCTTGGAGGGGGCTGGGTGGATGAACTGGACTCTGTACATCAGGCTTGGAAACCTGTGATTTTGGGGGGGGGGGACTTTTAGGGCAATTTGAGAAGTCTACTACAGTCTTCTGTACCTACCTGACACCTGCTGAGGGTAACCAAAGCTATGCATTGACTCTTAACTGTGATGCTATCACTTAAGAACATGAAATCAAGTTGGATCTAATCACAGGTCCATCTAGCTTAGTATGCTACCTTTCACAGCAGCAGCATGCAAATACTAAGGTATGCGAGCTAATTGAGACCCATCCCAATAGCCCGGACTATTAGTCTGCAATGCTGGGTGGTGTTAGCCCTGCTTACCTGGCTTGTAGAAAGGGGTGGAGAGGGGAACAGATGACTGGATGATTTTAAAATAGGAGGGCTGACTAACTGAGGCTCAAGAATGAGTTTGAGCTCTCTAGTTCTACCATGGATTTTCTTTTTGGACTGCCCTTCCCCACTTGAAGGGCAGGAAGATCTGTATGACAGGCTTGTCTGGGTTTGATTTTGGTAATGCCCGGATGGCTGAGGATTCCTGGACTGAGGGCACTCCAAATGCAGAATAGTGTGGTTACAGTATTTAGATGGCTTGGAATACACAGTGTGTGAAGATAAAAATGCCTGCGGCAGCTAAAGCAGGCATCTCTTGGGAAGAGGAGGCCTGAGCCAGGCAGCTTGGAGTTTGGATGAATGAGCTTGTTTAGAGGCAATTTCTGCCTAATATTTAAGAGAGGTTTTTGGAGCTTTCAGATCAGACTGTAGCACCCCTGCTTATGTTGAGACGGTGGCACTCAACTCTTCCAATTTAAAGATCCTTTCTGAATGCTGACCAGCTCTCTCATACTGCAGTTTTCCTTCTAACCCGGCTGCCCGCCCCCCAGTTCCTGGTGAGATGGTGGTGGTGAATATACTGTTTTGCAAGTATCTGGGATGAAAGCAGTCTCTGTCTGCAAGACTCCTCTTTCCATTTATAGCTGTGTTTAGGCGATGCAGCGCACAGAAGCTTTGCAGCCTGCTCTTGTGCCTGGTGCCAAGCATGAGACACATCTCGCATTGATATGCAGATACTACAAGCAGTCTGGCCTCGGCAGGGCTGAGCTGCCTGAGGATGTCGCAGAAATGGTGTCCCTGTGCTGTGGTCCTGAGATTGTGTTGCAGGCAGTTTATCACGTTCATATTGTTCAGGCAAAGGGCCTGATCCTTGGAGATGCTGGCCAGTACTTAGATCTCACAAGAGCAGGCCCAGAGACGGCAACAGCAGTGCTTGCTCGGAGCGAGACTAGCACATCTTGTCTCTTGGCACGCGGCCACTGGCTGGCTGCTCTTGCTGCTCGTTTGAGATTATGGATTAGGCCCAACTCCCACAGATTAGATCCAGATTTGTCCTAACACTGACCCCTGGGAACAGGCAAGTCATGGCCCACAGCACCTCTTTTAAGATCAGCTGCTGTTTGCAGGCACACCATCAGCCAATGTGCAGTCACCAGGCATAGATGCCTGCCCCATTTCTGTTTGCCGGCAGTATGGGTTCTTAGATGGTGCTTTATTTGAGGCCTCTTGGCCCCTCAGTAAGGATTGTTCTCCTACAAACTTCTCGTGGGTCAGGGATTGGAAAACGGGTTCTTTTGCTCTAGGCTGAGCCACTGGTTTGCTATGTGAAGAAGGCAAATTGCACTAATTGTCCACTCATTTGACTGAGCACTTGTTTAAATCATGTGAGGAGGGGGTTGTTGTTTTTTTTGCTTCAAAAACCAAAAAAACAAAACTGCAAATCAGTTTGGCTTTCCAGGTGACTCAGGACCCAAAGTGCAGAGTGTACTCTGGGCAAGGGAGGTGGCACTGCCCCTGCAGTGTTTATCCCTGCGGATCATGATCTGTGGCCTTGGCTAAGTCGGTTCATTGTCCTGTGCCTCGGTTTCCCTATTTCTAAAATGGATATAATGACACTTCCAAAGTGGGGGAATTGAGGCATGCTGCTTGCCATCCTTTAGGAAGCAGGTGTAGCATGGTGTTGTGTTGAGGAGCGGGTTAGGGTGTACTGCTCTTGGGAGCAGGGGATGCATGCTCCATACTCCTCAAAGCTAAAGTGCCATCTCTAGGATGACAGCTGTGACACTGCTGTTGTGCAGTTGCCCTCTTGCTTCTTTCGGGGACCACTGCCCTTTTGGTGACCCAGGCTGGGAAGATCGGTCAAGCTTGCATTCCTTTGCAACCGCACTGGGCCAGCGGCCTGATCCTGGGAGAAACTGAGCACCCTGGCTGCTTTGACCAAGGGGATTCCAGTAGGTTCTGCATCCTATGGGCTTTAGCCCAAACGCTTGTGCCAGAGTTGATCCTTGCCCCACACTGCCACCACTACATGTTTACACTTCTTATCTTGCTACTATCAAAATGTAGTTTCAGTGAGAGCAGTGTCACCCTGCCTTCAAAGCAGCAGCAAGCAGTACACTCCAAGTGGTGTTTATGTATGGCCTACATTTTGCATCTTAACATAAGGAGTTGAATGGGTCACACCCTTTCTTCCCCATTAGCTCCCAGGGCGGCGTGGCTGGAACATCTGATTACTTTAAGCATCCCTCTGCCTAATGTACAATTATAGGTTCCTTCTTGAAGTCGCTGCTAAATACACATGTCCATAGAATGACTCACGTAAGTACTGTTCTTGTAATGAATGCTGGATAAATTCTTTAAAGACTGGACATAATGTTAACATGTCACTAACCCGCCACCCCTTGCCTGCATAACGAGTTGAGCCAGTATTTGCCCAGTGGCAGAAGTCGATGGCTCATGCTGTAG